GCAAATTTCCCGCCGAGGTTCTTTACCGCCGATGTTTGTCTTCGGACTGTGTACGCATGATGACGGGTTGGAGCTTCCTTTCGGATGTCAGGGCGACCGGTCTTTGCGATTGTCCTGTCTTTGGAAATTACTGTATAGTCCAGCATGTTTTATGCATGACGGCTCGTGAATGAAAAATGACTGACGACACTTTTCGTTTATGCATTCACGTGGGACGAAGTGGGCTGTTCGCGACAAATCTTTTTTTTTCCCCCGTGTCGTATAACTACGGCCATTCGTCATATAATGTAGATGCGTTTGACCGGTTCGTCGGCTCACTGAAACTAACTATAGCCTCGGTAAGAGCTTGAGATGAGAGGCTACCAAGGACTCTAAGCGCCTGAGCGTAGATGAACACTTGAGGTGCACTGCAATGATCATGAGAGTTACGGTGTCGGCTTCAGAAGATCTGCCCGTTGAGTGGCCTTCCACTCCCAAGTTTATGAAACAATATTTCTGTTCCTGCAGATTTGTTCTCTACAGAGTGCGCTAGGACCTCGGGTACGATTTGTAGCGATGGATATGTTCAAAGTGTAGGCACTTTATTGTTGAAAACTAAACGTTGTCCATCTCAAGCAGAAGTGAGTATTAAATTGTAAATGTAATCTGACCAAGCAACTATCGTATAACAATTATCGCCAAAGGGTCATTCCACGGCAAACATCCCAACCATATTGGCGACCAACTATCGTATAACAATTATCGCCAAAGGGTCATTCCACGGCAAACATCCCAACCATATTGGCGACCATCTCAAATGTATTCGAAAAAAAAAATCGCGCTGATTTACTGCATTGAAAACAGTGAGGCGGTAGAATATTTCAAAAAGAAAAAAAATTGGTCACGTGGCTCCTTCTGAACTTCCTCGAATCTCCTTCGGACGTTCTTTGTGGAACAAATTATTTTCAAAGTACCGCTCCTTCTTTCCATGCCAAGTTTGATCTACGTGTTAAGTAAATGTGCTTGTGTAAAGTGTTTGAAGATCGGATTTTACTGGCACACACGCCTCCGAGAATTTCACCAAAATGTGTTATATTTGCATTTTTTTCTATTGCAATACTGCACTAAAACTGTTGCTTGGGCGAGTTGGTTCACGACTATTTAGACTGATTTATCAGCGCGAAAAGACGGGAAAGACACGCACACACCGCGCTGTGTGTGTGCGTCTTTCTAAATGTCCCGTCTTTTTGCGCTGAAAAATCAGTTTAAGCAATACTGCACTTTGAATGAATATCTAAGTTTTTACACTTACTCCACAGAACATATATTTTGAGAAAAAATATTTTTAGACCTCTCAAGCTGCCAAACATTACTGAGAAAAATTCACACGTTTCTCAGAAATCGCCATTTTCGTCCATAAATGAGACGCAATTAGCACCATGTGATAGTACAATTAAAATCACTTTTACACCTAAATCGAAAGCAAATGACCAGCTCTTTTTGTATGGCGAATGTTATCATTACAATGTTTGTTTTAAGGAAGAAAAAAAAATTTGGAACTTTCCCATCGACGGCAATAGAAAATTTCAAGGCGGCAGCTGTCGTATCACCAAATCTGAAGTTAGGCGCAATTGGGAAAGTTCGAAAATTATTTTCTTCCTTAAAACGAAAATGTATTATAGGATTTGCCATATGAAAAAAACTGCTATATGCTTTAGATTAAAAGAATAAAGGTGATTATTAATTGCACCACCACACGGTGTAAATTGCGTCTCAATACAGACAGAAATGACAATTTTGCAAAATGTGTGAATTTCTCTCGTAAAGTTCAGCAGCTTGAGAGGCCTCAAAATATTTTCCCTTCAAAATATACCTTCTGTAGAGTATGTATTCAATGCTTAGATATTCATACAAAGCAGAGTATTGCAAAAGAAACAACCACATTTCGGCTGAGTTGCTGGAGGCGTATGTGCCAGAAAGATTGCAATAATATTACTGAGCTTCAAACACCTTACACAAGAACATTTACCCAACATGTTGATAGATTGCGGCATAGAAAGAAAGAGCAGTACTTTGATAATTAAGTTTTCCACAAACAACACCCAAACAACATTTCGGGAAACGGCAGCCACGTGTCCAGATTTTTTTTTCTCTCAAAACATTCTACCGTTTCACTGTTTTCAATGCAGTAAATCAGCACAATTTTTTTCAAATGCATTTGAGATAGTCGCCAACATGGCTGGGATGTTTGGTATAGAATGACCGCAAACAGAACGCCTCTAGCCGTCTTACGTGATCGTAAATAGAAGGCAAATGTCCACTCTTCATGACCTTTTCAGTGCAATAAAAATACAGCGATAATGATTTATTGATGAATGATATGTGAGGTTTACCGTCCCAAAGCCACCATGTGATTATGAGAGATGCCGTAGTGAAGAGCTCCGGAAATTTCGATCACGTTGGGTTATTTAACGCGCACTCAAATCTGAGCACATAGGCCTACAGTATTTTCGCCTCTATCGAAGAAGCAGCCACCGCAGCCGGGATTCGATCCCGCGACCTGCGGGCCAGCAGCCGAGTACCTTAGTCACTAGACCACCGCGGTGGGATAAAGATACAAGCAATTTCTTTTACAGCGAAAGCTGTTATGAGATCACAACTCGGGTATCACGCAGCGCCATAGTTGTCCGCCGCTGCCGCTGCCGCCACCGGTGTCCGTAACCACGCCGCGCGGAATAAAAAAAAAATGGTTCCAAATCTGCATGTTACACCGCAAATGTAGTCGAAAAACGATAGTTGTGCGTCTGGAGAGAGTGAACAAAACGTCTATTTGATGTTCTGCACAAGAAAATCGGTGAAGGGTATTCTAGAGGCGCTGCGTAAGAGTGCCTCGGGCGTGTAGCGGAGGTGAACCAGCGCATCGAGGCACGTTAGACACAAGCGCCATCTGGCAGTTATCTTCGAAAACGAAGGCGTGTAGCCCGCGGAGAAAGATGCGCTCCAGTCTCGGAGGTGATAAGGTGTAGAACGCAAAATGACGGGCAGGTGCCACCACCGTGACGTCGTAGCAATGCGTTGGAAACACCTTTTTGAGTATCGGGTTGCACTGTCAGCGCAGCGCGATAAACGCTACATTCCTTAGAGTTTACTTGTGTGTGCCTCTTCTAGTATAAAGGCAGACATACAAAACTTCGAAGTGTTGTTATGGCGCCTCAGATATGCGCAATAATTGCTTTTTAATTGACAATCGCACAACTATGAACGCTAAAAACTTAAGCAATATTGGTGGGCGCTGCCAATAGGGTTAGCCGTTTGGTGCCGTTTGAGGTATCGTTAGAGCGGACAAACACACAAATACAGACAGACAGACCAAAATTTTTTCTGTCGAAGGTCCCCAAGAAAGACTATCGTCTTTAAAAACTAGTACCAATGACGCAGTGGAGCTCGAACCCGGGTCCGCTAGGTGCCAGCCCAGTAGTCTACCACTGAGCCACGCTGGTGCTCATGACTTGTTGGTAATCTTGCCTTAGGCAGGCTCGATGTCGGGCAATAAAGTGTTTTAAAACAGCGAAAGAACGACCAGTCGTCGCACAATGCGAATTTATAGCTTAACCAGTGGGTCGTCCAATGCTCCAACCCATTACAAGAGCTTGTTCTTGTTTCCCTATTAACTGTGGCGCATACCCACTTCAGCCACAATTCCTCATCGTCGTCAGCCACTGCATGAACAATTGGCACAAAATTCCTTGCAATAGTTTAGCGGATACCATGCTTCTCAGAAGAATGACAAAAATTTGCATAGCAAATACCTGGCTACTACGCTAAAATTTTCAATAGTCATGCCATAGTGGGTATCAAGCAAGTGTGCTTACGAGATTCCAAAAGGTTTCATGCACTAAGCGTTTGAAGTGCGCACTACGAACAAGCTGTTGCTATCGCGTTCAACTCCTGAAGGCGAAGCTTTAGGGTTAATTTTTACATAAGCATCGCTTCACTCCATTGGTACAAAACAAACCAAGAAATAACTTTGAAGAAGTTCAAGCGTATACGCGTCAGATATTTCGTCCTCTGGGCAAAACTGCCGAATTTCTCAAAATCAAGTGTTCCAAGAAGATCATGCGTGCATAACATTGAACGTAAGTCGTATACGCTGTACCGGATCCATATATATATATATATATATTTATCAAGCGAGCATAGCATCGGGGATGCATTTCACTACGGATATATGATCATCTTAACATACAACCAACCCACTTGTCGTGTCTTTTCTCGTTCGTGTATTCGTCGCCGACGAATACACGAGAGGAGACAAGCGCAGACGGGCTAGTTGTCTCTTCTTAGTAACGCTGCCCCATACAATTTATTATGAACCCCAACCAACTAGTCTACCTGTCCGTTATTCTCCTAGTTTTAGTGGCTATAGTTTTGTTAAATGACCTTAGTGAATGTTGCACATTGTGGTCATTCGGAGACATTTTAAGCCTACATACTGTGATATAAATTTAATCAGCTATGAAATCGCTTCTTTTAAACAATGTGCCCCGCCGCCCTTCCTACATAAATGCGCCTGGATGATGGCACACTGTAGGGAGCTTAGCGCTTTTGCTCACTGAGGTATACAACGTGCTTGATGTGTTCCAGACTGTGCTTAGTCTCATAATAGGTGGCCTTTTTGTGCAATTAATTCGTGCTACTGTCCCATTCGAGTTGTTCCATTTGAGTGGCGCCACTGCTCCGTGCGAACTTCTTAGTGGAAGGGCGCCATTAACAGCAGCGAGCACGGGACTTGTTTCCCGGTGTAGTCAGTCGCAAGAAAACTGAACGACTGCAATAACTCTCAAGATTCCTTTAAGTTGACCCTGAGCATTGAACAATGACGGTACAGTGATGACGGGACATGTCCGACTAAATAGAGGTGTGTACATGACTCTTCCACCCCTACCCCATTAGGTGTTCAGGGGGGCTTTCTGTGCACACGTTTATGAATACGCAGTAGAGTGAACGAGTAGAGTTCTCACCCTAGCGAGCCAGTCGTCCTCCTTGGCGGCCCGGCTCAGGTGCCTCTCCATGGCCTCCCAGTCGATGGTGGGCATGCTTGTCTCGATGTTGTACACGTCGAAGTCGCCGCACCGCTCGGGAGACAACGACGCCCGGCCCCGACGGCGTTCCGCGGTGGCGACCGAGCTCGTACCGGCGGACCGCGAGGTCTGCTGGCGGCCGTCGACGTGTCTCGCAGCTGGTCCCGCCGGGGCCAGCGAGAGCCGCGAACGGCGCACCTTCTCGGGGGTGAAATTGAGCAGCGACGCGGCAGACGTGGTCGCCTCGCGTGTCAGCTCGGCCTTGTCGAAAATTTTGGCCACGTTCTCCGGTAGAGCCCACCTGCGGATGCGCGTGCGTGTGACTGCCGCTTATTGCCGCGGCAACAACGTTCTGCGGGCAAGCTATACTTACAAACGAATCGTTACTACTGCTGAACTCATATTTCGCAAAGCTTGACGTTTCCTGGGTGTTTTTTTTTTGTTATTGGCTGGGTGCCACCACTTTTGATATAGCCAAAGTTTATACTTAGATGGTATTCTTTTTTTTTCTTACGTAAACCTTAAGAATTACTGAGTGCCTTTTGCGAACAGTGAGTGAATAAACAAAAAAAAAGAAAAGAAAACGAGCGCTTTGCCGTTAGCCAGTTATAATAGAAATGTACTAAAAAATGACACATTTGTGCAGTCCAATGTAATAAAATCCTAATCAATGAAATAGAGCTCGTTAAGTGCAAGATAAATAAGCAAACATGAACGGACACGTTGTATATGTACGACAGACACTTAGCAAAGTTGAAACAACAACAAAGAGATAAGTTGGGGAAGATGGACGCTTGAGGAGATGAAAAACGCTTGGAGCACAGGGTGTCACAGGTGCCAACGCTTCGATAACCTGGTCCGTATATGTCTTTAGATCTCATTAATAGTGTGTCAAACACGGAAAAACGAGCCCTTAAGTATACACTTACACTTACACACACACACACACACCACACACACACACACACACACACACAACACACACACACACACACACACACACACACCACACACACACACAACACACACACACACACACACACACATATATATATATATATATATATATATTATATATATATATATATATATAATATATATATATATATATATATATATATATATAACGCGTTCGATGCTCTAACCACTGAGCTATCATAGCGGCCGTCCCTCCATCCACTTTTTGGGGTTTATATGTGAATTTAGAAGTAGGAGTGACAGTCAGCGCCATCTATAAGCCAAACAACGAGTGTGAAAACACTCTTATTCGCATGTTGGCGTCACGTAGCACGTGAACCTATTATGAGCGGGCAGCTGATTAATTGTCCCGAACGAACGCGTTATTCGAAGGTCGTAGGATCGATTCCTGCTCACAGCTGGTAATTTTTTCATCCACTTTTCTTTCTTCTTTCTTCTTATTTACATTCCATTGGTTCTAATAACTTCCCCTGTACATCCCTTGGCATTACTGTCTGTTAGATCTCATTAACTATTGTGTTAAACACGGAAAAACGAGCCCTTATGTAGTACACTTCTTTCCCTTATTTTATATATATATATATATATGGTTGTGTGTGTGTGGTGTGTGTGTGTGTGTGTCCAGTCAGCGCCACCAGTAGCCATGGCGGCGAGTGTGGCACACTTTTTATTAGCCTATTTGGACGTGAACTTATTACGAGCTGGCAGCTGACCAATAATCCCTCGTATACAACCTACAGCATTAAGTCTACCAGTATGAGACCCTCGATAATGATTAAGAGAAAGAAGTGTATACTTAAGGGCTCGTTTTTCCGTGTTTTGGCACAATATTTATGAGAACTAACAGAGAATAATGCGGAGGAAAGTATAGGGGAAGTCATTAGGCTGAATTGTAATGTAAATGTGAAGAAGAAGGAGTAAATGTGGGTGCAAAGATAACTTGCCGTGGGCAGGAACCAAACCACCTGCTAACTGGGCACCTCGCCCCCTTCCGGGAATATAATACTTTCGGCCTATTGATCTACTTATATAAATAGATATATTTACGAGACGGCAAAGCCACCTCGTAGTATATCTTCACTTCTCCTGTGCAATATACTATAAGTTTTTGAATACACGCGCAGCTGATTTTTGGTGTAGTAGATACTAAGGGCTTACCTGGACACGTCTTCCGGAAGTGAGGCGTCTAAGTCCGGAGCTACGCTGTAAGAGGGAAGCTTATCGGTGCCACCTTCCAGAAGATGCTTACGCCGAGATGCGTTCTGCTGGTCTATCTCGGCCTTCGTCACCGCCGCGGAGCTCAACACGTTCTCGCACTCCTCCAGTATCTTCAGAGGAGGCAGCACGTCCGGCAGGAGTCTGACGCCCTCGTCGCGGTACGCTTTTCTCCTGCTTCTTCTCGAGAACTCTTCGGCATCCGGCGTCAGCGCCCTAGGGTCGAACGGGTCTCCGCCGTTGACCATCTTGAGGTCCCCATACTCCTCCACGGCCGCACGTTCGCGCACGTTGGCGTCCGTTTTCTTCACCTTGTCCATCACGAAGCTGTCTTCGGGCGTCCAGGCGACGTCCCTGAAGGCGTTGGCGTTGCTCACTAAATCCACGGACATGGTCGAGGACGTCATCGACGCCATTCCGATCATGGACGACGACGTCAGCGACGAGGCCAGGGACGCCGTGCTCCCTTCGCTCATGGGACTGAAGTCGTTGTAGTCGCCGGATGTGGGCGACGAGCCCACGTTCAGCGTCAGCACGTTGGCCATGAGCGCGGTTACGGGTTCAGCCGTGACGAAGTTCATGGTCACTTCATCGTCCTGGCCGCCTACGAAACGAGTGTCCGCACTTCCCAGAAATACCGAGTCGATGAAGTTGTTGTTGGGCTCGATTCTCTCATTCAAAAGCGCTCCATCGTTCATCTCCGTGAGGCCACTGTCCTCAGACGATTCTTCTTCGTCTGAAGATGATGACGCCGTGGAAGAGTTTTCCGAGCCCGAGCCGTAGTCGTCTCCGGCCAGTATGTTGGCCTTGGCGGCGGCCAGCAATGGACTAGTGTCCTCGAACTCTTCCTCGTCCTGGTCCGAGAGGTCTCTGTCCTCTGGCTCAGATGACGAGAGGGACATGGCACGGACGCTGTCGGCATCTGGTGAGCCCATGTCGCAGGCGGTGCTGCGCTCCTGGGGCCATGGTGAAGTTCGGAATCTAGAAAGAGAGAGAGAGAGAGGGTTGAAGATCAATCTGAAAAGCTGCAGCATTGTGTAGAAACTTGACCACAAAAACACCGCTAAGCGCGTTCGAGCCATTGAGATAGAAATGTGTCGCGGTGTTAAGCTAAGTGGTGACCCCACTGTTACTGCTGCGTAACTGAAGTACAAGCGCACAGCCGCCTAAATCCTTTTAAGAAATGTGAGAAGTGGCAACTCTTCTGTTTCAGCGCCACATCATGGAACGAAGTTGCATTATGTTGTTTTGTTGACGTGTGCTTTGTGGGAACAGACCTGCCCCCACTCTTTTGCTGACTTAATTTAGTTGTATGAAAAAACACACACAAAAAATAATTTCTCTCACGCACGGTAGTTTTGGACGGCTGTTATTTCTCTCACGCACGGTAGATTTGGACGGCTGTACTTGCGTCGTACGCTAAAATATATATCTGGAGACCACGCTGTAGACTAAGAGTGCTCGAGCCATTGGTGCTCTTCACTCATTTTATCCTGATTTTATTTTATGCTGATCCAACCCATGGCTATCCCAACTACAAATGGTGGCTCTTCATAAGAAAAAGCTTCGTCTACCAAATTTAAAGATATCGTAGGAGGAATTCATAACGACTGAAATGTATGCTGATGAAAGTAAATAAATCTCCATTGAAAGCTAGGCGAGCTAAAAGATCAATCATCTCTTTACACAACACCATATCTTTATCTAGTTAGAAATTTAAGTCATGACTTATCTTTAAAAAGTGCCTGCCTAGTATTTATGCGAATAAAAGTAATTTGAAACTGTTCTATTTTTGTTCTGAACACGATTACGTTCAATATCCAAGTTCGTGCGCGTGAGAAATATATTTGCCCATCACTAATGCATAACCTTACATGCTCTAACAAACCAAATCTCCACATAGGTGTACTCACAAGAAGTTTTTCGGCGGAGACTTGCGTTCTGACAGGCCTCTGTAGGACCTCAGTCGGTCCTCATATCGAGGGCTCACGTGGCGGCTGTCGAAAAAGCGGCAAAAAGTGAGACGCTCTTCGCGTTACGAACATATACATATTTTCTAAAGCCAAAGAATCTCCAAACAACAAAGTCTGTTTGTATACCTCTATCTATAGCATTGAAGAAGGCATTTTGTTTCGTATTCTTTTTAATATCAATGCCGGGGTGCTTCAAGACTTCAATGATGTATTTCCGTTACGGAAAGGACGTTGAGAAAATACGCACGATCAGAAAGCAACAAAAAAAGAAGATCTATCAATAGGTGTCGAACCCACGACCCTTCGTTCTGTGACAGCCGAGGTCGGGAAGGTTAACCTATGCAAAAACATAAAAAAAATGTCCCTTCCTCCTCCCCGAAGGTAATCGTGAGGCAATGCGAATGCATTGCGTAGCGTCCATAATGACGTTTCGCACGTGAGAACCCAGCTTTAGAAGAATAATGTTTTCTTTTTTTTTACACCACGCAGCCATAGAGAAAGAAAAATGGCGTAGCAGGCCAATAGCGCCATTCGTCGCACATGGCGAATTTCTGTCGCGAGAAACGCGGTAGGCGTTTCCAGCTCTAGTAGCTAGTGTGCACGGTTAAAAAATACTATGAAGTGAACAAAATAAACAGCGTTCTCGGCTCGACGTTGGTGTTTCACAGATACGTCTCAAGCACACATTTCTGGATGTTCTTGTGAGGCGCCCAGCCAGCGAACGGTCAAGCGTGAGGCGCGAGCGGACTTGAAAGTGGGGCGCATGGAGGAGAGAGAGCGAACAGCGAGAGAAGGAGCGGCGAACCACTGCACTTCTCCTCTCCTTTCATCGGAGTGACTGGCGTCCACTCAGCATGAAGTAGACTACGCCACCACACATCTACCAGCCGATCCACCGAACGTAGCGACAGACCCATATCCAGTGCGAACACTGTACTTCGCCTGGCCACGCTGCTCATTGACGACGTCATCAACCATAGAACCTGGATAGGATCTATATAATCGGACGAGATACACAGCTCCAACGGGGCGCCACATCGCAAGCCCCAAAATGCTTACACCACTGCTAACTTTCCAGGTTAGTTACATTGGTCTCTTAAAAGAATTTTGTAGCAACGATCCATTCTTAGTTACGGTGTCATGCCCCTATGCCATCAAATGGCATCGCGTAATCAGTCTGCGTTGCGATGCAGTTACCTTTAATTTTTGTGCCAGTACTATTACTACTTTGCGGTGATGTGGAACCTAATCCCAACCCAACTAGAATGCGCGAGCTAGAACCCGTACTAAATGCAATCAAGAAAATAGAAAAACAACAAAAGACAATTCGCTCCGCGCTAGCAAACCTCAAGAGTGCGCAAGCCGTGCAAGAAAAACTGCTCTCGTCAGTGAAGTACCGTGTAGTCTTGCTTAAATCAACAAAACACACTGGTAATTGACTCTAGCACAAACGATGCAGATCTAATTAAAAGTGACATATAAGTTCCTAAAGCTGCCAGTCTCGACGCATTGAATAGGTTACGCAGAAACAATCTACCTTTTCTTGAAACAGAATATTTCACGACGCACCACTGTCTTCGTTTCTACTAGCTCGATGGTTACAAATCACCTAACGAACATGCACTCATGCTCGCTGACAAGCTCCGATATGAAGTTGCTGCAACCGAGCGACGACATCGTTGTTTACCGGGGCCGGAAAAAGTTGAAAGGACACCAGACGCACAACTGTACAGACATCACGATCGGTTGTGCGCCTTCTTCTACGGTTGCATTCCGACACGAGGCCGACGCAGCGCCCTGCCCTTGTGCCCGTGTTCCGCGTGAAACTCACCGGCGTCAGCGTTCTGCGACCGTGGTGACTTTGAGCACGGTGCAAGTGACACTTGAACGCGGTTGCTCTAACGTTGAGATTACATGCAATGCTGGGGGCGAGTATAACAAGCGGAACAGAAAAGGTGTTTTATTACCCACATGCAAGTTGTTACTGTACACATACAACACGAAACTACGTATGTGCACATGGTCCCCATTGCGTCTTGCTGGGCTCAACAGCGTCGTCCGTTGTTACAAGCAGGAGCACTGCCCAACCGTCACTGACCTGCAAGGCGTTCGTCGTCGTTCTGCTTCGTCATGGTGCCCAACTCAATTTCGCCGAACACTTCAAATGCTTCATCCGCGTCATCCGCCGCACGACACATAGATATGCGCTCGTTCTACGCACTGTTCAGGCCCCGTGGTGGACGAAAGGTTTTGTAAACGTTGCCAAGAGTACAGTAACTGCCAAGAGAACACTGCGTAACCAATAACGCAGTGCAGAGCAGGGATATTGTCCGCCACCGGCGCTACGGCTCAGCACGGCACTTTCGGAGGCACACATGCCGCCGTCAGCCGCGGCCGCTCACTGCTAGACCAACTACACTGCGCAACACGCAATCATAGCAACGCCCGCCATTGTGCCCAGTGAATATGGCCGCCATGATGTCATTTCCTCCACACTTTTCCCGTAGCGCGCCGGCTGGGCATGCCCTCTCCTATCTTTCTTTCCTCCGTGGATCTACATAATCGCACGATATACGCAGCTCAGACGCGGCGCGACATCCAAGCCCCAAAATACTTACACCACTGCTAAACTTCCACATGCTGATTAGCCTGATGTCAAAGAGCCTGTCCCTGTTTGTGGTCCTTCCGTCGGAGCAACTGCATGGCGTCCGCTCAGCATGAAGTGAACTACGCCATCGCGCATCTACCAGCCGATCCACCGAACGTAGCGACAGACCCATATCCAGTGCGAACACTGTGCTTCGCCTGGCCATGCTGCTCATTGACGACGCCATTACCCATAGGGCCTGGATGCATCGGATCTATATAATCGGACGAAATAGGCAGCTCAGACGGGGTGCCACATCGCAAGCCCCAAAATGCTTACACCACTGCTAACTTTCCAGGTTAGTTACATTGGTCTCTCAAAAGAATTTTGTAGCAACGATCCATTCTTAGTTACGGTGTCATGCCCCTATGCCATCAAATGACGTCGCGTAATCAGTCTGCGTTGCGATGCACATGCCTTGAAAATTTTTGTGCCAGTACTATTACTACTTTGTGGTGATGTGGAACCTAATACCGACCCAACTGGAATGCGCGAGCAAGAACCCGTACTAAATGCAATCAAGAAAATAGAAAAACAACAAAAGACAATTCGCTCCGCGCTAGCAAACCTCAAGAGTGCGCAAGCCGTGCAAGAAAAACTGCTCTCGTCACTGAAGGACCGTGAACCTTGGTTAAATCAACAAAACATACTGCAGTAATTGACTCTAGCACAAACAATACAGATCTAATTAAAAGTGACGTAGAAGTTGTTATAGCTGCCAGTCTCTGCGCAAAGTATAGGCTACGTAGACACAATCTGCTTTTTCTTGAAACAGAATATTTCACGACGCACCACTGTCTTCGTTTCTACTTGCTCGATGAATACGTATCACCTAACGGACGTGCACTCATGCTCGCTGACAAGCTGCGATATGAAGTTGCTGCAACCGAGCGACGACATCGTTGTTTACCGGGGCAGGAAAAAGTTGAAAGGACACCAGACACACAAAAACTTGGAAATAGCGAAGGACAGAAATCTTGCGCGGTGAAAGTTTTCTAATAAGAATGCGAACAATGTTGAAGATAATATTTAATTTTTTTCTTTTTATATCTTCCCTTAAGCTACGTAGTATATAAAAGTTAGCGTTCGTGGACTACGTGCAGAAGCGTATAAAAAAAAGGTGTGCTTGCGCTTTGTAGCTTTAGCTGTGGTGCCACGGATGGGTGTTGCCGAGTGCAAGCGTCAACGTCAGTACATGCGTTCACGTAAAACGGTGCTTTAGCGCCCACAAACATTTCGCAAGCTCTCTTAAACCATTGTGCAGCAAACATTCAAAGGCCTCATCAAGAGTGAGGCCCACGGGATGGCTTTATGCTCTCCCATAGTACGGTACCTATAACTATAAATCGTTACCCACTTTTTCTAAACACACTATTTCTGCAAGGACAAGTTTCACTTTCGTGTTATACCGATTCCTATGGCGGAGGGTCGAACCATGTTTTTCAACTTAGCCGCTATTTTACTATTGCCCGTTGTCCTCCCTCTGGTTGTTGCGAAGCCTCTCCGGCAGCAGCTTGGCTGTTCTTTGCATCGGTCTAATTTTTGCTCAAGTAAATTTCGGAGTAGAAGAACGAATGTCGCTGCTCAAAGATTTGAAGGGCATAAGCACGCACCACGCGGTCTATGTGAGCATGTGAAGTTTGAGTATAGCACCGACTGAAATTAACTCACCGCCATATTAACGGACAATTATTGCTACACACGATCAGTTGTGATTATTATTATTATTATTTATTATTATTATTATTATTATTATTATTATTATTATTATTATTATTATGAAACAAACATACAAAGTACAAAATGCAGGGAGCAAGATTAAATCATCACCCCGAATTCGGCACCATATCTGCCTACTCCTATAGGAAGAGAGTAACAGAAATAGTATAGTTGGGGATATCAATGACGCATACATGTATAAACAAGTGTGGGAAACGAATGCATGTGACGGTTCTCACGAGATGATTTCATACCTTTGATATACAATTTTATCATGTGAAGGCAGCCTAAACAGTGGATGCGTACCAATGTGATAATCGTAAAATAGCAGTTCAAAAAAATCATAAAACAACGACGGAAGAACTAACATATACACTTCCGTCAAATATATTTTTTGTACTGTTACTTTTCGATTACGAGGAACCAGCTATATATAGCTCAATTTAACACTATATACAGTGACAAATTCAGGAGATTTCGCATAAAATGTTATCTGATACATTTCACTGAAGGCTTACGTTTGTCATACGTAAGGCTAGCTTCGATAGACCATAAACCGAATAAGAAAAGTCAGATGTTCGTGTATTTCTCACTCATACGTCGATTATCCAGGTAATTTAATGGAAATGTGTTAATATACGGCATCTCAGGTCAACTATAGCGTCACCGTAACGGCGATATTCTCAGTCAGCAAATCGGAGACTGAACTCTGCGTACGTACAACATGCCGTGGAACATACCTGCGCAGGAGGCACTTCTCTTCAGGAAGTGGAACGTTCAGCTTCAGCCTCATGGCGGCGAAGTCCTGCAAGCAATAAGCGATTTCGTAAGTCATTGAAACCCTTCTGACACGCCGAGCTATGATAAAATACGTAGAACAAACGAGTGTTCACCCACAGGTGCCCTAAAGTACATTAATTAGCTGACGGGAACTTGTCTTCAGCCGCAAAGATGTCGGTTTCAGTTCATTTTGACGTTTCTCGGCTTGATAACGCCATTTAACACGCACGTGTAAGTTAGAAGAGCCAGCAGATACGCTCTGATGAACAAAACCTACCCAGCGTTAATAGACATGTCTGTGTTTTTGGCAAAAGTCCGTAAGATGTCATGAACGCCTATTACGACGCTCACTTTAGTTTTATTCCACTAGAATAAATCATACTCTACGCCTGCAAAGGTAGGGTTTTGCTTCGTTTTCTGCTGCTATTACAAGGCATAGTTTCACCGGCAAGCATCATGGGAAGGTTGCCTAAGCAATATATGAGCGCATAAATATCGCTTCTTTCGTCACCGTTATGTATCACTTTCATGCTTCCTGAAAGATCGTTATTTTCAATCATAGCTGGCCTGCCACCACGTCCGCTTATTGCTTCATTACTCGGAGTGCCCTGCCTAAAGGCATAGGTGGTCTCCGCCCATCGTCCCGGCTGTAATAGTACAGAGGTTAGACTAAAAAAAAAAAAGGATCAAGAAGATTATCGGGGCGTTTGCGTCGCATACATCTGCGTCCTTGCGCAAGAACCTTGCCAAGAAAAAGCGCGCATACTTGACAGCTCCGAACACGCAGCGTCACATGGGATTTATCACCGGTTGACAGTGCTCTCATCTGACAGCTATGAAACAAAGCACACCCAAAGGGCACACACACACAAAAAAAAGAAAGAGTCCTTGCTACACAACGAAGTCCACACGCACTGAAGCAAGGCAAAGGCGAGAATGAGACACACGCATGGACAGAGTACACGCTTGCGAAAACTGAAAAAAAAAAAGTCCTTAAACGCCTGGAGATCAGCTGCGCGGTACGCGAGACAAAAGGCGGCGCAAAAAAAAAAAAAAAGGAAAGAAGAAGAGCAAGCAAGACATGAATGGAGGAGAGCAGAGACAAAAGGCGGCCGACTTTCGTAGCCACTGGCGACGGCGCAAACTAGATGACGTCACAACAGCGGTGCGCCGGCTGTGTGATGAGGGGACGTGTATAGTGGCGTAGCTACTGCCGCTGTTTCCAAGCGAGACAGCGGTCTTGCCTCGTATAGGGCTTGTTGTCAACGTATACCGCGGCGCATCAAGTTGTGCCTCGCGCACTTAAGTGTGTTCTGCCGCAGCGCCAGTTATATGGGCGGGATTATAGTGGCCTATATAATTTTCTAGTATTTTGTCCATACGGTGTTGGCATGAACGTTGATTGTTGGTGAAATAGCGCATGTTTTACTGCATGCTGTTGTAGAGAAAAATGAGATGTTGCCAATTCAAAAAAAAAAAGTGCGACGTTACAGACATTTATGCACCTTTCTCTCTCACACACAGACAGACGTCTGCATGTAGCGCAGATGTAGACGATGTGTGCTACTAAATGTTGTCGCGCATGTCATGAGCAGGTTCGGGGCGACAAGCGACCCTCCGTTGGCACGTGACAAATGTGGCGGCGCATCGTAGGTTGGCCATCGATCGCCAGTGAAGCGGCGTGTGGCCTACCACAGGAGAGCCTGGACACACATCGCGCCCTTAGCGCTCGCCTACCGGCGCTTATAAGCGACCGCGTGTAGTTCAATGCACTGATTTTGCACAGCCGAACGCGGGAAATAAAGGAACTCCGCTCGAAGCCTCTGTGAGCTTTCTCGGCGTCAAAGCGAAAACACGAGTTGCCAGAACGACCTAAAGCAACGGAAGAAGCAGCAGGCATAATTTTAGGGGCGAAGCTCCTTATGGTTGTGGGTCTGTCCATCCTCCGACGGTGTATGTAGCCACCAGTGGCACATACCCGAAAGAGCGGTCTTTCGAATGTCCGCTGGTTGGCGGCACTTGGATATGATGAATACATGATGAAAAGATGCGAGACCTGTCATCTCATCAATGGCACTGCTTCAGACGCTTCAGGCGTGCACTTTTGTTCGTTGGTCACTGTGCAAGATGGTCTCCTACTAGACCGCGTTTTTCCTTGACAGTCAGCTGTGCGTGTAGCTCTCGGCGTCGCTGCAGTTTGCTGGCGCGATGAGGAAAACAGGTGCTACATAGTAGGTATACCGCTGGTACGACGGCAACATATACGACGTTACTGTACGCGCACGATGGTGCTACAGTTGAAACACGACGCTTGGCCTTGTGCGTCTACTTCGCACCAGTGTGCGGTAACAAGTGTGCTGCTATCGTCGTTGCGTTGGTTAATATTGAATTGTAGTGGCAGTACTGTTCTTACAAAGGTGAGTGAGGCTGTAAGTTGCCTATCTATAGGATGTTCCGGGTAAAAAGCACCAAGTGATAAAAAATTAAGCATGAGCGCTACAGCGTCTCCAATTAACGCAGTATTGTTCTGAGTCATGTAGAGCATGTCATAATGCGATCCGCAAAGCTCGGCAAATAATAGAAATTACTTAATGAACTTTTTATATTAGTGACTCTTGATAAAAATCTTGAATGCAAAACTTGTAGCGCTCATTCAGAAATAATGAAATTTTACATCTTCAGTGAGATAACTGCGCTGCTTAATTTTTTCCCACGCTTTGTATAAAAATTGCGAACATTAAAAAAATACCACGTGATTGCCGCCAAACGCGTGGCACTTTTAGTGCCCTCAGATGTAAGTTCATGGAATTGTCAGAGACTGCTCATGCACGAAGGTCGCTAGAACAAGCCATCGGTGACTACGATGGACGTTATGCGATGGCAGGGTCGTAGCGTTAAAAATAGAAGAGAAAAAAGAAAAGAGGAAAAAAAATTGACTAAAATGCTGCCTGCACGTGCAAATGCGATATACGAGACCGTAGGCAGCATTCCAGGTAGCACCTGATTTTGTTTTTCAGGCTAGCGATATACACGACGGAGGGAGAGAGGGTGAAATGGTGATGAAGGAAGGATATAAAGATTACGACGGGAATACGTGGTGCAACGTTTTTTTTTTTTTTCGGGCACGCTTCGACAAGGGAAAGTCAGAGTCTGGAACAATGCGTTCTGCTAATGAAGTACGTGCGAATATGACTCTCGCCCTCGGCCGAGCAAACGGAAAGAGGAGAGAAGCGGCAAGATTATTTTTTCACAGACGGCACCCTGCAACTCGGGTAAATAGTTCGACATTGGTGCGAAATTACGAAACTCTCAAGGAAACAGGCACGTTCAGAAAGCCGCGTGAGCGCACGAAAGGCGTGAGTGAGTCGCTTAGAACAGACATTCTCGCTTCCATGGCAACCCATCCACACGCAAGCGTGCGCGACGTGAGTGGTGAAACCGGCAGTTCCAGCAGTAGTGTTTGGTGTAGACTCGAGTGCGGAGGACTTCACCCTTATACGATGTTCATCTGCATCAGCAGTTAGAAGAAAGATATTTTTAAAGACGTCTCGACTTCTGTAACTGGATATTGATACGGGCAGAAGATAATCCCGGCTTCCTGAATAACATAATCTGGTCCGACGAAGCCCAATTTTCGTGCAATGGTCAAGTCAACCTTGACAACGGCCATTACTGGAGCGCTACAAATCCTCATTGGCTGTTGCAGTCACAACAGCAGGTGCAGTGGTCTTTGAGTGTTCGGTGCGCCATTTACGACGGCAAAGTTGTTGGCCCGGTCTTTTTCGACGGAACACTCACAGGAGAACGCTACGTCAGGGAAATACTAAATGGCCCACTGAGTGACTTCACCTGCAACCTTCCTCGAGCGCAGCTTGGGAACATAAGCTTCCAGCAAGACGGGGCTCCTCTGCACAGCTGCGGGCGGACCTGAACGTGGCTTGATCGGTATTTTCCTGAGGAGAAGATAGGCCGTCTTGGACCAGTTGATTACCCCGTTTGGTCCCCAGATTTGACTCCGTTCGATTTCTTTCTATTGGGATACAATAAAGACCGTGTCTACACCGAAGTGACGACAACGCCAGACAAGCTGAAGTCTGAAATAGCAGATGTGTGCCACTTAATTACTCCAGGAATGCTGCGACACGCGACAGAAAATGTGTTGACTCGGTGTAGGTTGCGCATATGGTCTGATGGAGGGCTGTTTGAGCACGCTATGTAACTTTCCATGACGTCTCAATAAAAGCACTTTAGATTGCAGTTAGGCTGATGCATTTCTAATACCTATAGCTTTCCTGTTATTCAAGAATTGGCTATTAGAGCAGTGAGTGCTTTTTTTTTTATTCCTCCTGCTTATATGTATGCATTGCGCTCTAACAAACAACTACTAAACATGATATTCTAAATGGAGACGAAGTACGAGCACTTAACTTTTGAACTCACAGCCAATCGTGCCATATTGCTTGCAAGTATCTAGAACAGCAATCTCACGTAATACCGTGAGATGATGACGAAAAAATCCAAATTCCTGGAATTATTTTCCTCGTGCTTTTTACTATAGCCTTCCTTCATCACAATGTCACCCTCTCTTCCTCCGTCATGTTATCGTTAGCCCCCCCCCCCCCCCCCCCCCCCCCCCCCAAAAAAAATACCGGCGCTGCGTAGAACACTGCCAACAGTCTCGCATCGCATTCGCACGAGGCGGCCGCTTTTTCGTCGAAGATTTTTTTCTTCTCTTTTTAACGCCACCATGCTACCATCGCTCGACGTCCACTGTAGTCACCAATAGCTTTTTCAAGCGACCTTCGTGCGTGAGCAGTCTGATAAATTCTTCGAACTTACATTTGAGGGCACTGACAACGCCGCGCGTTAGGTGACATTCACGTGGTATTTTTTTTTTAAATTTTCGCGAACTTTAAACAAAGCCTGAAAACAAATTAAGCAGAGCAGTTATCTCACTCAAGATGGGAAATTTTATTATTTCTTGATGAACGCTACAAGTTTTGTATTGAAGATTTTATTTGGAGT